AAGGTTATTGTTAAAGACAGACAATTAAGAACAGAATACTAATACTAATACTAATAATAATAATAATAATAATAATAATAATAATAATAATATCAACAACTTAGATCTAAAGGTCTCTGCATTGTACCAGGAATGTCAGAGTTATAAATCTCTTCCAGTATTTCCTGTGGACTTTTGTGGACAGTGGAAACTATTGCTAGGCTGTGCCATATAAGAACCGAGTGTTAAGCATGGAGTTTTAACAGATTGATTAAAATATTGTGTCAAAATACATATATACTGTCTCTTTAGAATGAAAGTAATGGCAAAGGCATGTTTTTATTCACCAAATAGAGAAAGGATTTTTGTTTCTTGGTGAGCTTGACCTTGGTTTTTAAATAAGATGTGCTTTTAAGGCTGTTGTACCCTCTTGGTTATAACTACAGCCAGCAATGGCCCGGGTGTGCTGCGGAAAGCTGCGTTGATTGCACAGGAGAGTGGCGTGTCCAGCCTTCCTGGTTTGTCTGGCTTTGCCCAGGGGTGACCTCTGGACCGCAGCTTTCCTTGAGCCTGTAATCCAGGGGAAAATTCTAGTTGTCACTTTTGTCACTCATTTACAGTATTAAAAAACAGACTAGTTTTATTGAATCTTTGTATATTTTGCTATTAAAGTAGATGGAAGAAAAATTATGAAAAAGTTTGATCTAGAAACCCTTTGTCTCTGCAAAAGGTCTGAACTTTGAATAATACTTTAGGTCTCAAACTATCATGCAGAAGTTTCCAAATACTTATGAGCTATTAAAGTATTGCTTAAAACTAATAGCTAGATTTTAAATAGTGTCAGCTAGCATAAGAACTTCTGACTTACATTAGCAGCATAAAGCATTTACATCTGTACAGAACTGTCTTTGCAGTTTTAGTTTATAATATTAGTTCTGTGATGTGTTTTTTTGGTGAGAAAGTTCAATTCTTGGTTAATACAGTTAATACAAGTTTGGTACATGGTTAATATGTGAATTCTGAAAATTCACTTCTTAGCGTGTTTCAGCCATGATGCGTGCAATCATGGAAAGAACAAATGAACAGAGAATAAAAAGACAAGATTAAGAAAAGAGTTGGGATTTAAAGAAACTTTGATAAGAAACAAAATATTCATGCATTTATGGCCAGGAGTAAGATTGTTTTAATCTTCCTAGATGACATGACAGATATCTTCAACAGGACTTAAAGAAATGGGAACAGGTATATAAACAACAGATTTTGCACTGAAGCTAAAACCAACCCATACAAATAGTAACAGAGGAAAAAAGAAACCAGCAAAATCCCAAACCTACAAATTTTATCTGGTTCTAGCCCTGTGGAATCAGTGTGAGTCATAAAGTCAGGCACAGTGCTGCTTTGTAAGATCATTTTCAGAAGCAGTGGAGAGGCCAGGTCATCTGTTTTATCTGATGTCACCGCTTAGAAGCAAGGAGGTCTGCTTTGATTTTGTTAATTTTAAAGGAGCTGGATGGTACAAAAGTTGTATTTAATAATGATTTCTCATCAGGGGAAACGCTATCCAATATCCTTGGATATTATGGAGACGATAAGCTCTTCCCTGGCTTTGTGTGTGCAAGCACTGTTGATGGGAATGTGCTACAAAGCAAAAGTAGAAGCTCCAGACATCCAGCATGTCCGGGTTGACCTGAGCTAGAGATTTTGTGTTCAGGGCAGACCCACTTGGTAGCTGTCCTCTTGCCTCTCTCTAGTGAGGAAACACTGAGAAAGAAGGCTAAGGTAGTTGGATTTTTCTTCAGAATTACCATCTAGTGCATTGTAATAGAATATTAGATAGCTGTATTATATCTCCCACCTGGGATCCCTCATACTAGACAGATACTGAAATTTTGTTCTTGATCAGGATGTTTACATTGATGGATTACGCCTTTTTGGTGCCCAGGAGGGCGTACGTAATCTTATAATCTGTTTTCAAATGAAATGAAGGCAATCACACAGACCCTTAATTTCTCATTGATGATGATAAGACTAGCAAGAAAAAAGATGACTTTTAGCAGCTTGTTCTTCCCCATTAGCTTTGTCACAGTTCTTTGTAATTCGTGCTCGCCCATTGTATATAGCGTGTCATGTGCACCACAGCTGCTGGTTATGAATTGCCTGATGAACTTGAGCCAGGAGCTTCTTCAGGAGCTAAAACCTGTGGTGACAGGGTCTGACTTTGGCCTGCTTCACCCTGTATGTTTGTTTATTCTGCTGGAAACAAATGCAATCACAAGATGCATTCCTGCCATAATTCTTGATGTGATGAATGGGGGGTTGACTTGCAGGAAACTGTAAGGAAATAGTGTTTCTGCTCATTCAGTACTGTTCTCTCTAAATTAGTCTTGTGGTAAAATACGAAGCAAACAGAGCAGACTAGAATCAGGTGTATGGGCAAGTAACACCTTTTAAACTTTTGACACTGAGTGGGAAAAATAGACAAAGTGATGTTCATCATGATGATATTTTGTGCTAGAGTCTTTCCCCTTTGGTCCTGTTAACTTTATATAGGAAAGATCCCAGGAGAGTATTATTGCCAATACTGGGAAGTTTTTAGAGGCTTTCATAAGCCTCTTATTTCACAGAAATCTATGAAGTTTCTGGCTGGTCTGTCCTTTTCTAGTCTAAGCCTTTCCTAAGCAATCCAGCAACTTTCCACTTGAAAATAGCTATGGGTAAAGTCACACACTACTTTCACATAAGATTAAGGGTTTGACAAGGGTAGTGGGAACAAAGAAATTCCAAATTAAGTCTGCTCCGTATTTAAACCCCCCCTCTCCCACCCCACTCTTGCACAATAGCAACCTTTCCTACTGCAAGTAGGTTGTTGATATACTTCCAAAAAGAATTCCAGATAGCTGAGAGATGGGATTAAATGGATTAAATAGCCTCCTCTTTTTTTCAGTGAAAAAAAAGGAGTTCAGTTGAAGGCACACAGAAATGCAAACTTAAATGATTTTGGACTAGATTGGCCTTCCAAACATCCTCAGATTGCCTTGCAAGTTAGCATCCCTTTCTTGGAGAGACCCTTTGCGTTGGTGGTGGCTGTGCGTGCACGCCAACATACACAGGGCAGGCCATGGGTGCCTGGATTTTGCACTGCAGCCACAACCATTTCAGCAGATTATGATCATGTGCTGGGAGGTAGGCTATCATTTGGGTAGAAAAGCTGTAAAAAATATAAAATGGTGCAGAGTGCTCAGTGCCAAATTTATCTTCATTTAATGC